TATATATATATATATATATATATATATATATATATATATATATATATATATATATATATATATATATATATATATATATATATATATATATATATATATATATATATATATATATATATATATATATATATATATATATATATATATATATATATATATATATATATATATATATATATATATATATATATATATATATATATATAAATCACCTTTTTTGGATACTTTAGGTTCAAGGAAGGATTTCTCATTTTTTTCAGCCTCCACCTTCAAAAAAACAATTAAACATATTATTAAAAACAACAACAACAACAATTACAATAACAACAGCAACAACAACAACAACAATTACAATAACAACAACAACATCAACAACATAAACAATAACAACAACAACATCAACAACAATAACTACAACAACAACAACCACAACAACAACAACAACAACATCAACAACAACCATAATAATAACAACAACAACAACAATAACAACAACAACAACAACAACAACAACAACAACAACAACAACAACAACAACATCTCTCATCTTTTTTAACTTGAATTACTAAAATAACCATAGACAAAAGCACACAAAAAGTTACAAAATGTACAACTAAAACTAATATATATTAATAATAAATATGTATTAATTTGTAGAACAGAAGTGCTAAAACATTAAACTGGATACACTTTCAAAATACAAGTAAAATGCAAAAAATGCAAAACAGTCATTTTTAAAAATAAAATTGTAAGCACATATAAAATATAAAAACACAAGTAAAACAAAATTACAGAAACTTTAAAAATACAGAAAGACATACAAAAACAAATAAAAAAATTACTAAAACTGTAAAAGTGGAAATGAAATGTGTAAAAAACTAAAACAAAATTACGGAAACGTTCAAATAAAACAGGAAAATATCAAATAAAAACACAATTCTGACAAAAATGGAATAATTATCAATATAAATCTCTTCTATTTTAATGACTAATATAACTATAAAATTAACAATTAACATAAACTAAATTTTTTTAAAATAAAATAGTCAAAACTATGACTTAACTAACTGACTTAAATAAAAAAATAAAACATCTTTTAACACTTGAAGCCAATCAGCAGTAAGGGGTGTGTCCAGTAGGGGCGTGGTCATGTTGGGTGTGTTTGTTTTGGTGCTTTTAAACTTCAGTGTTATTTGGCGAAATTCACTTAATGCACCTTTATATAAGCAGTATTAAAATGCATTAAAAACAGTGTATTTCTCACCAGATCAGCCTGTGAGTTGGAGTTCTTTTTCTGCTTCTCTCTCTGATACATCTGGATGACTTTCCCGTGATCGCAGTGATGAACATCAGAGACGTCCTGTCGTTTTACAAGTCAGATTTAAGCACTTTTCAAATGCATTTTCCAGCACTTTACAGCTGTGACAAATATATTCACATACATATACAAGCTTCATAGTACGCTCAAGCAGATGCTACTTGTTATATAGTATTTATTATAGTAAGTAAAAGTGTTAATGGCATGTTTTCCCTAAGCTTAACATTGATATACTGTCATTTATTCTCAAATTTAACATACTCACATCTTAAAGCAAACCTATTACGCCCCTTTTTATGAGATGTAAAATAAGTCTTGATGTCTCTAGAGTGTGTGTAGTCAAGTTTCAGCTCAAAAATACCGCACTAATAATGCTTTCCAACTCTCTGAAAGGGACCCTTTCAGGTTTTGATCTTAATTGTGCTGTTTTGGTGACTGTCGCTTTAATGCAAATGAGATTGTGCTCTTTTCAAAAGAGGGCAGAGCTATGAACGCATGTGTGTCAGCATAGTGGCAGCTTAACAACAAGACTGATGTCCTATGCTAATGAAAGAGAGATGGTCACTAGTGGGCGGGGCTTTCCCCCTCTGATGACATCATTCAAAGGGAGAATGTCAATCAGAGTGTTTCTGCAGACTGTTTTGATCAAGTGAATGATTTGAGGAAATACTCACTTCTTCATGGTTATGGTTATGATGATGGTGATGATGATGATGATGCTGTGGGCTAGTGATGATGGAAAATATGCTCTCCATCAGGTAGAAGAAATAAATGCCCGCGATGAGCACCAGCAGCTTGTACACGTAGTCAAAGTTGTGGTCTTTGTGATCGTTTCCTTCTTCATGAACGTGGAGGCCTAGGAACTGCACACAGATGCACAGAAATACGGTAAATGTCCACTGAAGAGCCTCGAAATTGAAGCTTGTTGAATGTGTGATGTCATTTCAGCTGAAGAAGGAGATAGGGGCGGGGCATAGCAATTAGCTCCTCCCCTTTTTAAAATAGCCAATAGTGTTTTGTTTATGTCGCAGCTCTGCCAATCAAAAAGCCGAAATTGAAAAACATAAAAACTAAAATGACAGAAATCAACAAATTAAAATGGAAAATATAAAGTAAAAACTAAATTGGATGACTAAAATAAAGATATAACAAAAAATAAAATGAATAAAATAAAATAATACAACAAACCTAAAATTTAAGGCTAAACAAACAAACAAACAAACAAACAAAAAAATTGTCACGCCAAAATTTCAGCTTAAAATGAGAATTAGCCCCTCCCCCTTTTTACAGATAGCCAATGGTGTTTTGTTTATGTCACAGCTCTGCCAATCATAAAAAAGGGGAACATAAAAAATATAAAAACTTAAAACAAAAGCGTTCAAACTAAAATGGAAAATATAAAATATAACAAACAAAAAATGACTAAAATTAGAATTTAAGGCCAAAAAAAAATCTTTCTATCAATTTCAGCTGAAAGAAGATGGGGTGGGGCAGCAGGTAGCTCCTCCCCTTTTTAAAAATAAGATGAATAAAATAAAATAATACAACAAACCTAAAATTTAAGGCTAAACAAACAAACAAATAAAAAATTGTCACGCCAAAATTTCAGCTTAAAATGAGAATTAGCCCCTCCCCCTTTTTACAGATAGCCAATGGTGTTTTGTTTAGGTCACAGCTCTGCCAATCAAAATCTAGAACTAAAATTGAATATAAATGAATAATTGAATGAATGAATAAATAAATAAATAAATAAATAAATAAATAAATAAATAAATAAATGAGTAAATAAATAAATAAATAAATAAATAAATAAATAAATAAATAAATAAATAAATAAATAAATGAGTAAATAAATAAATAAATAAATAAATAAATAAATA